ACTGCTCAAAACGGTCTAAATTTATGAAACCTACACATTCAAAACTTTATTACTCTGAAATGTTTAATGTAAATGTTAAGTGTAAGTGAAATGTTAAGTACTGTAAGGTCTTTCATGACACTACATATTCTGGGGTGTGAATTTGATAGGTGCTTGATATAAAATAAATGGTGCTTTAAAAAGTCCTTGAAAGTCCTTGAATCTGGTGTTCATGAAAGAGTGGGAACCCTGTTTACTAGAAGATCTTGCTGCTCATACTCATTCATTATTTGTGTTGTTCTTGTTTCTGCTGTGTGGATAGAGATGATCAGACTGGAGTCCTGCAGCAGGATTCTGTCCAAAAAGCAGATGATGGACTACAGAGAGCCAAAGACCAACACAAAATCAGCATGAAGAACAAATATGAGAGCTTATTTGAGAAGAACAGAATCTACACACAACTCCGTATCATACACGGAGAGAGTGAAGGTGTGAATGAAGAACATGAGGTGTTGAACATGGAGAAAACACCAAGATTACAAGACACTCAAATCAACTGCAACAACATCTTTAAAGACCTACCTGGACCAGGACGTGAGAAGAAAGGCAAAATAAAGGCAGTTCTTACCAAAGGCATGGCTGGAATTGGAAAAACGGTCTCTGTGCAGAAGTTCCTTCTGGACTGGGCCGAGGGAAAAGCCAATCAGGATGTAGATTTCATGTTTGTGCTTCCATTTCGAGAGCTGAACTTGATTCGAGATCATCAGTACAGTCTTCACAGACTTCTGCTTGATTTTCACCCTGAACTTCAAGATCTGAACTCAAAGATCTATGAGGAGTGTAATGTTGTGTTCATCTTTGATGGTCTGGATGAAAGCAGAATTACGCTGACGTTTTCAGACAGTGAGAACGTTTCAGATGTTACTGAGACCTCCTCAGTGGGCATGTTGATGTCAAACCTCATGAAAGGAGATCTGCTTCCCTCTGCTCTCATCTGGATCACCTCCAGACCAGCAGCAGCCAGTCAGATCCCCTCCAAATACATCAACCGTGTGACAGAGATCCAGGGATTCAATGATCCTCAGAAGGAGGAATATTTCAGGAAGAGGATCAGTGACGAGCAACAAGCCGGCAGAATCATTTCACATATTAAAAAAGCAAAAAGCCTCCACATCATGTGCCACATACCCGTCTTCTGCTGGATCTCAGCCACTGTGCTACAGCAGCTCTTAAAAGAAGATCTCAGTTCAGAAGTCCCTCAAACTCTGACTGAAATGTACATCCACTTCTTGCTCACTCAGATAAACATGGGAAATCAAAAATACAAAGAGAGAGATCCAGAGAAAGTCCTGCAGTCCAACAGAGAAGTGATCGTTAAACTTGCTGAACTGGCTTTCAAACAGCTGATGAAAGGCAATGTGATGTTCTATGAGGAGGACCTGATTGAGAGCGGCCTAGACGTCACTGACCCCTCGGTGTATTCTGGGATTTGCACTGAGATCTTTAAAGAGGAATCTGTGATTCATCAGAGGAAAGTCTACAGCTTCATCCATCTGAGCTTTCAGGAGTTTCTAGCCGCTTTGTATGTATCTTACTCCCATGTGATGAAGAACATGGAACCATTGCAGTTGTTTCTGGATGATAAACATGAGAGGGACAGACCTAAGAGAAACAGGTACAGATTTAAGAAAATCTCTTTGTTTCAGCTACTAAAATCAGCAGTTGATAAAACTCATCAGATTGAAAATGGGCACCTGGATCTTTTTCTGCGGTTCTTGCTGGGCATCTCACTAGACTCCAATCAGGAACTCTTAAAGGATCTACTGCCACAAGCAGAGAACAACTCAAAGAACATCAAAGGATTCATGCGGTACATTCAAGAGGCAATCAAGAGAAATGACAATCTTTCAGCCAACAGATCCATCAATCTGTTCCTCTGTTTGCTGGAAATGAATGATCAGACTCTGTATCAAGAGATTCAGGAGTTTGTGAAATCAGACAAACACTCCGATATGTATCTCTCTATTGCTCACTGCTCAGTGATAGCCTATGTGCTTCAGACGTCAGAGGAGGTGCTGGAAGAGTTTGATCCTATGGAATACAAAACAACAGAGGAGGGTAGATGGAGACTGATACCAGCTGTGATGAACTGCAGAAAAGCTCTGTGAGTATTCATTTGTAGAGTATTCATAGCCAGTAAGGTAGTTTTTAAGTTTAGGTATAGGGTGGATTAGGGTTGTAGAATATGGTCATGCAGAATAAGGCATTAATATGTGCTTTACAAGTACTAATAAACAACCAATAAATCAATCATATGCATGCTAATTAATAGTGGGAATTGGTTCCTAAACTAAAGTGTTACCCATATTAGTTTCTAGCTCAAACTAATGCATCAAGCAAATCATAACCCTGTTCTTAATTTAGTTATATACAGAAAAGCAGTTGAAAGCATGCTGGACAGTAGACCGTAGAAGCAGAGCTGTGTGATAAGGTGTTTAAAACCAAGTTGGCAAGTGCTAATTTCACATCCTGACTTTATAATTCAATTTCAGCTAAACTCAAGTTCTTTTCAGAGTTTTACGTTCTTTTATGCACTGAATACAGGAAACATGACTTTAAACATTCATCTTCTCCTCATTGTCTTTTTGTATTATAGACTTGCTAGATTGCGTCTTTCTGTTCAGCAGTGTGACAGATTGTCTTTAGCTCTACGATCATCAAACTCTTGCCTGGAACAGCTGGACCTGAGTAACAATAACCTGCAGGACTCATCAGTGAAGCTGCTTTCTACTGGACTGAAGAGTTCACACTGTCACCTGAACATACTGAGGTTTGACTTCCACATGAGCTACTTTTATACATGAAACCCAGTGAATTGCCATATTGGTGTGGCATGATGGCTCAGTGGGTAGCACTGTTGCCTCATAGCCAGAAGGTCCCAGATTCAAGTCTTGGAGGCATTTCTGTGTGGAGCTTGCATTTTCTCAATGGCATGTTGCCGTGAGCTTTCCTCATATGAGTGTAAATACATATATATCTGTGTGTTATGCTGCGTTCAAGTCGTTCGTACTTACGAGTTGAGATGGCGGTGTACCTTCTTTTAATAAATTACAAGAAAATACAACAGGGTCTGCATTTTTTTACTTGGATTTCAGCTGCGTAACAAGAACATGACCAAGTTTATAGGACAACTAAACTATCAATTTAAACAAAAATTTACCGTCAACTACAGACGTTGCATCCATCGATTCCGCCATGTTTCTCATTGACACGCCCCCAACTCGGAAACTCGGGGCTTAAAGAAAATGTCGAGTTTCCCACTCGTAATAACGACTTTGTGGTGGCGTTCATGTGCGTTCAACTCGTAAATACGATCTATCTGACATGATTTGAATGCACCATTAGCCTTTTGTTGGACTGACCACCTGTCCAGGGTGTTTCCCTGCCTATGGTCCAAGATGCTGGCACTGATAGCATTTCACCTGCCTGATTAAAACGTTCCGCTGACCTTTAACAGATCACTGGAGAAGTGTGAAGATCCCTCTTGCTTCAAACACTCCATCTCCATCCCAAAGAAATTCAAAATTACAGGACTTAAAGGAGGGGTGCCAAACTCAGCTCCTGAAGGGCCACAGTTCTGCAGAGTTTGGTTCCAACACACGTACCCGTAGTTTTCAAATAATCCTGAAGAACATGATTAGTTCTTCCAGGAACTGAGTTTGGCATCCCTCACTTAAAGAGATACTCCACCCAAAAATGAAAATTCGTATCATTTACTCACCCTCATGCCGTCCCAGATGTATATGACTTTCTTTCTATAAATGAACAACCTCTGGGACGTATCACCTCTATTTTCTGTGCTTGTTGCTCCTTCCTTTCGTGAATCTGCTTGTTATCTGCAGGTGTTCATAGGGCTACACATTTTTGGGGAAGAAAATCTAATTGCAATTTTCCTGGTTTTAAAAGAAGGCCCAAAATTGTGTGCCTATGTATTAATATGACTAATATGGCAAAAATAACAATTTTTTTCAACAATTCTTCTCCTCCTCATCTCGTCTGCCGCGGCCTGCCGCCATTAAACTAGCAGAGGACAGCATGCAGATGCGTCCTCTCCACAAAGTAAGCATTGTTTACATGCAGAGGAAAGCACGCACATGCGTCATGAGACTCTCCACAATGGCGAAGCTGCAGCAGATGGGATGAGGAGGAGAAAAATGGTTGAATAAAGTCGTTATTTTTGTTTTCTTTGCGCACAAAAAAGTATTCTCGTACCTTCCAGATAAGGCTTACTGGAGATGAGAATCTGTCTTCAGAAAGCATGCTCAAACTACTGCAAATGAAACTCAAAGTTTGCCATCTCGTCTTGAAGTTGAACAGATTCATATTCATTAAAAGTGATGTACGCTAAATTTCTCTCAACATTGTTGATGACACTTTCAGTGTTGATGACGTTTACATGGACAACTTTTATTTCAATTGAAATTAAATCATTGATTTCTGGGACAGGGACACATTATTACCCATCATTTTAATGTGCATATTTTAATTATAATAACACATTTAATTGCTTGTATTTTTGTTCTTATTTTCATTTTTAATAATGAACCTACAGGACGAGCATATAGGCTTATGCATTTATTTATTTATGAAGGGAACGGATTAACAGACTGTGCGTTACTTTTCATGTTCAACACTGCAGTGACAGCAGAGGCCACTAAAAACAACTAAATATGCTAGGGCTGGGTAAAACAATAAAACAATTTCTCGATTTTAATAGATTCTCATTTTTATGAACCAATATCGATTCTTAAATCCCAATTGATGCTGTTTTCAGTCGATGAATGAACAGTACATATAGTGCGCCTCCCATCCATTTGATATGATACAGTCTCAGATTTCAAATTCTGTCCATTTTATTCGAAAATTCAAGCAATAAATACCGTTTTGGCGCTCTTTAATGTGGTGTGATAGATCGCTGTAGACACCTCAGATCAAGCAAAGAGGCAGCGCACGTGAACTGATCATCTCTTTCACTTTACTACTAGTGGGTACTTGGCTGTGCATAATCAAACGCATAGCAAAATACTTGTGACAGTTTTATTTTTGTTCTGGAGCTGATGATCCCGCGCTCTGCTGCCACACTGGAGTGCACTCGCCACCAACTGGACAGGGGTGGGAATTACAGTTTCAAATTACAATAGATCACCCTTAGGCCCAATCCCAATTCTACCCCTTAGCTCTTCCCCTTTCCCCTACCCCTCCGTTTCGCGCGTTCACGTGAAGGGGTAGGGGTGTCTCGATTCTCTTTTGGTCGGAGGGGGAGGGGTAGGGGAAGAGCCAGACAGCCCCTGAGGGGGGCTAGTCCCCCCAATAATTATTAATCGCTAAACCCTTTTCTCAAATATTGCCAATTCGAGAGAGACAGAGAGAGAGAGATGAAAGTTGAGTGTATGCGCGTCTGTGCGTCTCTCTTTTTAGAGTGAGTTACTTCAAAAACAGCGATTTTATCCTCTCGTTGCTGGAAAATATAATGTAGCGATTCAGTATTTAAACTGTTATTA